ATCATGTACTTTCATTCGAAATGAAGTTCCCCCTAACAATGTTATCTCAGGAGATTCATCGAAACCAACTTTCTCTTCGTATCTACAATATTAATTATAATCATAGCTATTTAACTATCGCTATTTTCTGCAAGAGATTTCTTTAACAGAGCTAATGACTAAGGGATCAAAGAAAGCCATACAGTCAACAATAGTCTTTACTACATAAAAATGTTGTTGGGGTACTTACATTTCATATGAAAGTGCATGAAGAAGAGATTCGTAGGTCGGTCTCACCAGAAAAGGACAGATGAATCACGTTGTACTGCAGTCGTTTGGCTTTAATACGATGTTCAGGTTTACGCAGTCCACGAGACCTCCTCCCTCGATTCGGGTGAAAACGGCGTGTGCTTTCGTCCATCATATGATTGACATCATCAGAGATGGATCTAATTCCTGTAAAAGTGTTGCGTTAACACTAGGGCAAGAAGACTATTCAACTCTATCGCTTGTATTGACTCAATTAAGCAAAATGAAATTAAAAAACTAGATAGGTATAGAATGGTTTGGCTAATTATCTTTAATATGAGTTGTATTCACCCTATCTCTCTCTCTCTCTCTCTCATTGTAGTTAGAAGCTAGAGATAGTTCTTACTTAGTGTTCTAAATTCGTTCCTCTTATTCAGCATATTCTTTGTCTCGTGACTTTCAATCGACTCCCTGATCTCCCACTTAAATGTGAAGTCCCCAAATCCGGAAAAGTTTGGGATTTAGACCAATCTGGTGGACTGTAGTGACCACATGCTCAGTCAACTCTGATTTCTGAATCCCTAGATTAAGCCTAACGGATGATTGTTCTCAACTAAGATTTTTCTCAGCCTTTCTGATTACTATCGGATGATATGAGTAGATATGACGTTTCCATTGAATTTCAAATAGCCTTGCTTTCCCCAAAGTTGTTCTCCTCCAGGTTGGACAGCAGTTTCGACCTCGCATCGGTCTTAGCAACACCCCCAGCGGGAGTCGAACCGTGACAGTGAAGAATTTGAGCTTTACACGTTAACCACTCGTCCACATTGCCACGAGTGCCCTTGGGTCGCAGGGCAGATGGGAATTTCAAGGAAGGCCATGCCTTTTCCCCTATCACATTCTTTGCTGGGATTGTTGATAAAGCAAACGTATATTTGAAGTGGGTTGACCTTGTTGTCGCAACTTGATCTTGTTGTCAGGGAAACTTAGTAGAACGCACATAGTCTGAAGTCATCTGCAATAATAGTTGTCATAATGCCTAGCTATTCTCCACACCATGTTACGAACTCGTCAAAGAGACAGGTGAAGTCAACCCTTTCACTAACGTTCTGCCAAAAACGATAACACTATCATGGCAAAACTCACTGATTATGCCACCTAGGATGCCGGTGAAACGTTTGAGAATGTACCATGTCCATTGTCTGATGCTGGGAATTATGAAAACTACTATAGCAGACGACTTCGGACTAGATGCGTTCTACTAAGTCCCCCTGACAACAAGACCAAGTTGCGACGAATTAAACCAACTTCTATAAATCAAAAGGAGACTGCGACCATACCAGAGGCCAAACAATCTTGGTCTTCATATCTTCAATCAAACGTATCTTTGCTTCACCATTCTGAATGATAACAACTGTCGAGAAAGTAAGGCTATTTGAAATTCAATGGAAACGTCAGCTCTACTCATATCATTGTGC